TTCACGTAACTCTGTTGATAATGCATCTGTTATGACCAATGCTATACGTTTGACAGTGTTTGTCGAAGGTATGCCTGATTGACCCCATATATAGCCAGCTATTGCTGCAATACCAGTTGAAATATGAGAACTTTCGCAAAATGTTAATCCTTCTAATATCATTTGACCAACACGAAATGTTAATGGTTGATCAAATGGTTTTAAAATGACTTGACTTCGTTCACTACGATTGCCAAATCGTCCAACAGCTACACGACATTCAAGTTTTCGTAACGTTTCCAGCATAATGATCAAAGCTTCATAAATATAATTCTCATAAATACTCATTGAACCACTATTATCGATCATAATTACCCATTCAAAAACAACAGAATTTGAACATTTATTAAATAGATCACTTAACTGATCTCGAATTTCAGCACATACTTTATCAATCACAAAATTAATTGATTGACAAGATGCTAATTTTTGATACGACCATGTATTGGATTGAATATTGAGTAATTCTTCTAATTTTGTGTTATATATAGCCATTGGATTCTTTTGCTTCTCATGATAAGATCCAGCTTGATATATGTCATAAATATTTGCATCATTTAACATTTCACGAATTTTTTCTTTGGTTGGTATTAAATTAGGCATATCCTTTTGTACAATGCAGTTTGCTCCAGCTATTTCGTCTAAATCTATCTCAGTATTACTGTTTGGATCAGGATTAGGATGAGGAGAAGGTGGTAATGGAGAATTAAAACGGGAAGGAGGTGGTGATTTCGGGTTTATTTCTGGTTTGACATCACCAGGTGTAAGTGGGACGCCTTTTCCTGATTTTGATTTTTTGTTTTGTCTCGGATTTACTAATTTTGGTACAAGAACCTTTGGATTTTCTTGGTAGTTTGAAGTATCCTCTTCAGGTATTTCAATCGGAAGAAAAGAATCAAGTGATAGTGTAGAAAGTTTCTCTTTTTCTTTATTTTTGTTTTCAATCTTTTCGAATATTTTCTCTTGTTCTCCATGTCTCAAAT